TTCTGCTCCTGAAAGTTGCTGGTTTTCTTCCATCAGACCTGTCTGCCTTCCTGCATTTCCTAATCGGAAGCTGGAGAAGAGACCAGCAGGTCTGTCCAGGACTTTTCTGGGGCTGCATGCTGTTTTTGTTTGCCCTGGATAGTAACAAAATGAGGTGTCATCCAAGTCCTTGAGATAGCAGATGGTATTTTAGATATTATTGCTAATACGCTGACAGTGACTGACACACTTGAGTATTCCTGATTTCACAGATGTGTTTGGAAAGACAGTTGTTATGATCACTTGTGCACAGAAGAGTGATTGAACTGTATGGTTTATATACCCCATTGCAAGGTCCCTTCTGTCATACTGCTGCTCACCTATAGACTGAAGGTTCAGGTGTGAATTAACCAAGAAATTATATTCTCATGCCAATATTTGTATGGCCAGCAAACTTGAAGCTGGGAAAGACTTCCCCAAAAGCTTTGTGAAAAGCTTATCTGGACTTACCACAATAGACCATGCAAGAAGGAGTATCAGAGTTGCAGCCATCTGCTGGAAATGAGCTTAGACTGCTTCAGATTAATTGCAGTTCAATTTGAACTTCAGTCAAAGCTGTAGCAGTGGAAGTTTGCCAGGTGGTTCTGATTCCTTCTCACAGGCATAGTGACCAGGAGAAATATTCCACACATGATCATGGGATTTTGAAGAATGGGATCCTAGACTTCATCAATGGTGCATAAATACATAGAATTTAGCTGCCAAAAGAGAATATCAGCAGTGTGCTGTGTGTCACTCTTAGGATCATGGTCAGCCAGTGGCATCCATCTCATGGATGGAGGAAAATACCAGAAGTGGACATAAAACCACAGTGCCGAGGAAGAAAAATTTCATTTAACTTATATCAGGCAGAAAATGTGAGGGAAAAATATAGACTTGATATATGTAGTTGCATGTAAGCAAACCACTTGATAGTCTGGCACATTGACAGCAGAGCAGCACTGTTGGGATGACAAGACCTGCAATGCCTGCTGCTGCAGTGTGCAGCAGACAGTGAGTGTAGCATCCCCCGAGCAGCTCAGGACACAGCTGGTTTTTAGGCCCAACATGCAGCCAAAAAATTAATCTACTTTCAGTAGGCTCATTTGCCAGCACAGAAAACAGATGCATTTTATATTTGTACACTGCAAATGGAGTACTGATGGCAAACAGTAGTGGAATAGCAATGTGCTTAAAGTGCATTGATTAATTGATTTACTGCTATTTATTTTTATAAAATCATAGGATAATGGGGGGGGGACATTTAAAGGTCACTAGTCGAAACTCCCCTGGAATGAGCAGCAATATCTTCAACTAAGTCAGTTTGCTCAGGGCCCTGTCCAACATGACTTTAAATATTTCCAGAGATGGACCATCTACCATCTCTCTGGGCAAAATTGCTCCTATTTTAATTTGAAACCATTACTATTACACACTGCATAAATTCCAGTGCTTCAAGTGCTGCTACAGACATGGTGCTAGGGAAAAAAGTAGTCAGTTTCTAAACCAGCAGAGGAGCCCCTCACATCTATGTAGGAAGTATTTTGTTGTCAGGTAATTGCAAACTGTCTTGAAAAGTGGAATTATCCAGCTGTAAGAGAAGCCACCCTGAGATACGCTCCCTAAAAATGGTGTGGATATTGTCCCTCTGAAGTCCCATAGCACATCCAGGTACTGGCTTGCTTCTAAATAATATAAGAGAAAAACACTCATTACTTAGAAATTCTTCCTAAAGCTTATAAGTGCTCAGGAAAAGGCATTGCCATGCATGCAAGGTAATACCAAGACAAGAAGATGAGTTACTCTGTGTTAGTCTCTTCATTAATGTAATTACTGGTTTCAGTGCTTTTCTCTTACCACCAAGATGAACTCCACAAACTGATGAAAACTGTTTCTAGGTTAAAAATAACCCATCCTCCAGATACTCCTTTTGGAAGACAAATGCTAGGTAGGAGTGGATGTGACATAATGCTAATATCCTGTCCTAGGAGAGTAAGATCTGGTAGCTGCCTTCAGATATTCTGCCTAGACTTCCTTCAGCTTTCTGTTCCTGGCTTCTTGTCTCTGCAGCATCATCTCAGGTGGGCAGTGTCTCTGTCCACATAAGTAGCACAGCACAGCATCTCACCTGAGGGAAGGCCAATGGATCTCTTTTCAGAGCTGGTCTTCTCAGCTTAAACCATGACTGATTTACTATCCTATCCAGTATTTAACTGGAATCCGTATGTTTTTCTCTGGTCAGCGGGGTGTCAAGGTAAATTGGATCAGATGGTTCAGAGAGTGAAGGAGCAGGCAAGGGTTTGTGACTCAAGGTATGGCCTGTGGAACAGAGCTGGTGATGTTCATTCAGCCACTCTTCGCATATGAGGAGATGGTGATGCAGAAAGGGGCCTGGTGAGAGGATGCCAAGCTCACTTTTATTTTTAAGTCCCAATAAATTGTTTTTCTGGCTCTCTTTAGGTGAGCAGTTTCCCTGCAGGGTTTCCTGAGAAGCTAGGGTTAAGTGCATTAGTGCAGACTGCTTTAGTGACAGAACAGAGAGGGGCCAATATCTGCAGGGTGAGACAGAGTGCCACCAAATGCCAGTGGCACAATGGTTGTTGTTGAACCCACCTGCCCCAAACCTTGCACCAGGACTCTCTTAGCTGCAGTGAGACAGAGCCTACCTGACTTCCATTTAGACTATAAATATAGATTTGCTTGTGCTTAGCTCTCATTTTAGCGGGTGAACAGGGACAAACAGAGCAGTGGCAAATAATTTGTGGCTACACTATCAAGTCATCTTCCTCTGGTTTTGGAAGCCCAGCTGTAAGTCCTTCTGTGATGGTGCACAGCAAATTGTGTTAACCAGTGCCTGTTCTGTTGCTCCAAGTGGGTCTTGGTGTCTTTGTCCAGGTGCACTGCAGTCAGGTGTGTCACTACCAGCATAAAGAAACTTATTTAGGGACATAACCCCTCCCTTCTCTTTTCAGAAATGCAGTTATGGCCTTTTAACTTTTTCCTCTAATGATCCACTTTACAAGTTCAAACGCTGTATGATGCAAATTAGAACTGCTTTAGGGCATCAGTATCAGCTCAGCATGCTGCTCATCATCATCTTACATCCACAGTTGAGCTCTGCTTCTGGGACACCAGTAGGTAGCTGAAATATATAGGCTGAAAGAAATGCATGCTATCCAGCAAGTTGTGCCAAATTTTTGGAAAGTCTGTTCAAAAAGCCTGTCCTTTATAAAAGTAAGAGCACGGGTGAGAAAGAGAAATGCTAAAGCAAATGTGGTAAGCCTGTGAGATAGAGAACATGAACAATGTATTGAAATATAAATCATCTAATCCATGTTGTCCATGGCCCATGCAATGTGACTGGAATTATTTTGACTTATAGGAAAGATTAGAACCCATAGTTCTTCAGTTCTTGACCATGCACTAATACTGTTCTAGCATGATTGTTGTTTTCTGACTCTTAGTAGTCAGGGCCATCTCCAGGGAGAATGATGAGCACTGAAATCCCACACAGGGATGAGCCCTCAGAGGGTTCAAAGAGGGCCCTGAGCCCAGGTCTCCTGTGCTACAGTTAACAAAGACTATAAAAAGGGGAGGGTGATTGGATGTAATTTTGAATGAATGATCTGGGTCCTCTGCTTTCTTGCAATTTCTGATCTGTATCTGTTACCTTGTGCCTTGGGCATCTCTGTTGGACTCTTTTCTTCTAGTTTAGGTGCAAAATGACTGATTCTGACACTGCAAACAGGTTTGGGTATGAATTGCCAGGCTTTACATTTAGAAACCAAAGTGCCTGTGCACTCTCAGGTACCTAAGTGTAAATCTCAATCTGGAATTTTAGAAGCGTGGATACTTCTTCTATTTCGGGACCAAGGCACTGAGCAAGTCTGCCATGTTTTGTACATGCAACCCAAATTTAATAAGCAACATTCCCACTCCTTTTCTGTGGGCTGTGTGTGAGTAGTGACACTGCTGTGGTTCAGCCTGGTTTGACTGTAAACACCATTTGCTGATGGGAACACATTCCTACAAGAACATCCCCAGGAGCAGGAGTACATAGTAACAAGTGTGGTGCTGTGACTTGCAGTAAAGGAGTAGTCATCAAAGCAGCAGAATCACTACTTTTAAATAAAGTCAAGTCAGTTTCCAAAGATCCTGGTCAAGGTGGATTATGGTCATGTTCTACATGTCTGCTCTTTTTGTATGACTTCACCAGACCATTGTATCTCTCCTTTCCTGTCTTATATGTTCTCAAAATTCCAGCCTAGCTCCATCCCTAATGCAAGAAAGAAAACTCCTGAACAGTCTCAGAAGCCTTTGGTTAATCAACTGTAACCCTTTGCTACAGGTTTAGTTTAAAAATCAAAACTGACATTTAGGACTAAAACCTTACTTTTGCTGGGATTGGATGAACCTGGAGGTGCCTCCAGTTCATACATGGTGAGTGATGTTCATCAGGTAAACATGAAAGCTGCTTTAAACTGATTTAACTTTTGAAAATGTGCAGCAGTGCCATGAGCATTAGTCCCTGTGTTTAGAGACAGCACTAGTTCATCCTTTTGTGTCTAGGAGGAATGTCAAACACCTGTAATCTTTTAGAGATTTTCTTTGCAACACTGGTGCTTTAGATTTTAAAGATTTATGTCCTTTATGCATTTCTTTTAACCTGTTAAGTATGTTAGATGTTGTATATGGTAACCCTGAACTTAACTTCTACAGACTTTAACTTTGTACTCACAGCTGCTGCATTGAGTTTTTTACATTAAATAAGTCCAGGTTATTAGTGTCCAAAATACATGACTGTTGTAATTTATTGTGAGAGTAGTGCCTTTCAGATGCACATCTGCTCTGTGATCATAAGTCCATACATTGAAGTGCTTAAATGCTTCACTATGAACCATTCAGATCACAAGTGAAAAATCAGCCTAATCTTAGAGCATTTGTTTCTTGCCTTCTGACTCTGCATTTTTCTCTTTCTGCAGCTTGTGGATGTGACCTGGCTCAAGGAGGATTTTTTGTGAGACAGGGAGACTACATCTGTACTTTGGACTACCAGAGACTCTATGGCACACGATGCTTCAGTTGTGATGAATTCATTGAGGGAGAAGTGGTCTCAGCACTGGGCAAAACCTATCACCCAGACTGTTTTGTGTGTGCTGTTTGCAGGTAGGTTTTCTACATGAAGTTGTGTTTCAGATGCCAGAATGCCCTGAATGCCAGGCATTCAAACCAATAGCCTAGAGATAGGGTTTTCTTTTACTCACTCCTTAAAAAATTGCAGAATTAAAAAGAAAAAAAAAAAAATCTGTAATTTCGAGTGCCTCCCTTTTTTCCAAATGTGTTTTTCTTTTTTATGTTATATTTGAGGTTTTTAAAGTACTTTAGAACCATCCACTGTCTTTGTTGTAAGACGTTTTGCCCCAAGTATTGCTTAATTTCTCTGGTGTCTTCTGTTTTGTCATTTGTTGGCCTGAAGTTAGAAGGGATTCCAGTGCCAATGGCTGAGTCCTCAGCAGGCTGCTACTAAAGCCCAGTGTAGTTCAGGGGGATCATTTCCCCCATGGGTCCCAAACTCAGCAATACAAGGGACTGATGTCATCCTGACCTGCCTCTTAATCCTCTTGTGTAGAACTGGCACAAACATATCTATTGAAGACTTCACAAAGAAGCTTAAATTAGTGCACTAAGCCTTCAGAAAACCTTCAAACTGCTGTTTTAGCAGTTTGGATCAAATGGAAATGCTGCCAGAGTTTCTCTGGCTGAACTTGAGCTTTTAAGAGTACAAGAAAAGCAACCCCACTTTCAGAGGGCTTCAGAGCCCAACGAGGCACTGGTGCAGCACAGTTTAGATCTCTGTGTGCTGGTGCCTCTTGCAGGTGACTGTGCAGTCCCAAACCAGCGTGGCCATGTCACTGTGGCTGCCTGCCAGCCCAGCCTGCCCTGCCCCTGGAGCTCAGAAATCCTCCTGCAAGAGCAGGACGTCAAATTCCAGAGCAGCTGTGGCTCGTGACAGAATCTCAATTAAATAAAGTAATTGCACAAATAATAATAGCTGTGATAGAGGGGAGACTCTGAGATAGACAAGCCTTTATTGTATTAAATTCTGTCTAAGTTTTGATCTGTCCAATAGGCAGCTTTTTCTTTTGGATACCTAAATGTGGAGATTAAAGATAAGAAAAAAATCCTAACATATTTTACATGTTTTATTTTTTCTTTTAATAATAAAGGGAAATGACTTCAAGTGTGTCTCATTAATTAACTGCTGGCTGCACATGCTATTGACCTGCAGCCTGGCAGTATTACAGCTCTTGTAGAGATGAGCAGAGATATTTTTTGGTACCTTTATTCTCAGCACTACTACCTTCTGTAAAGTGAGGTACTCCATCATTTAAGAGAAATCAAAAAAATGGTTGATTCCATTTTTCTGGCTAAATGTGCCTGTATCCTTAGTCACACCACTAGAGCTTAGCAGAAATGTATTTAAGTGTTATTACTGTACTTAGAAACTACCTACCTTGGGTTTCAGGCCATTGGAAATACCAGCTGCTGCTTTATTTAGTCTGTCCTTCAGCTGCTGGTTTGGAGTTTGGTGATACAGTTTATTTTATCTCCCTGGAAATTTGGAATAATTTGCCTTGTGACTAAAATATTTAAGTACCTAACAATTCAGGTGAGTTAAATTGCAGCACTGTGGAATTATTTATATTGCAAATATAATGTGTGATGAAGATGTGGTAAAGCTTTTAATAATGAAGTTCCTGACACAGTAATATATCATATAAAAAATAAAATCAGAGATGTTCCCTAACCTTCTGTATAACTAAATAGTTGTATTAAATGCTATTTCGCTGTTTCTAGTAGTTCAGTAGAGAGACCCAGATCTGCTTCTGTTGCTTTTTTTGGAAGGACACACAAATTCATATTGTCTTCATCAGAGCCAGCTAATGCCCTGCTGACTAGCAGGATTCAATTAGTGTCTCCCAGGGGGGTTGTAACACTGATTTGTGGTGCAGAGCAGCAGAAGAATCCTGTCATGTGTTTATATGCTTTAAATCAGCTTCAATTACCCCTGTCATTGTAAGCCAGACATAACCTGTGTTTTTTATGAGGAAGAGTGTCCTATCTAAACATCATCATTTATTTTATTGAGTGATATGCTCAGTAAAAATAAGGTTGGTAGGCTGTAAAGGCATGGTGTTTAAGCCAAAAGAAGGAACTTGTTTGTTCATTTAAAAAACAGTAATAACAGAATAAGGGGGCAAATGGTGCAAAACTCTCTACCTTGGTATTTTCCATGGTGGGAAGAGTCAGGAGAACCATTTGTGCCCTCATTTTTTACAGATGGGCGGAAAGCTTAAATACTATGCCAAGGCACACTGTCAGCAGTAGTTAGTGGATGATGCCAACTGCATTTGGCATTACCTTTTACAGCCAGACTTTAATGTGGGTGCTGTGTTAGAAATCTAACCTCCAGAATGGTGTGAATTTGAGAGGTGGTGACTGCCTGGCAGTGGGGCTGATCCTGCTCTCATGGAAACCAAGTCAGTTTCTTACCATCTTCAGCATGAAAACACTGGCAACAGAAGTCATTTTGCACTCATGACACATTTCTCCAGAATGCTGCAGGATCGCTGAATTATTTTAAATGAGCACTGCTGCAAGTCCTATTTCTGTAGCTGCTGAAGTAACACTTCTAAACTGTTTCTACATTGCATAGTAAACCAGTGTCAGTATCAAGTCCTTTTTTTTTATCCTTATTTTCAGAGAAGATAAGGTTTGAATAGAAACATGTGGGAAGTGTATGATAGGATCAGTGAGAAAACCTAGCTAGCAGGAGCAGCGGGAAGAAGTCAGCAATCCAAGGCCAGTTGTCTCCTGATATTACTACTGTTGGATGCCACACGGCCCAGTGTCACAGGGAACTGTATTCCAACTGTATTCTTTGTACCTTCTGCACTGCATTTGTAACCTGCTGCCCTCCTCTGTGAAAAAGCTGGAGTGCCAAGAAATCCCATCAGTGCTGGGCATCTCTTGGGAGTCAGGTCCTACTGCCCAGGGCTGCAGCAAGCTAAAGTCTAAAAAAAATTAAAAATTAATTAGTATTCAGAGAAAAACTGGTAGAAGTAGAATATATTGTGCCATCCTAGTTGATTGTTTCTCTCCATCTTGTGTTAACCAAGTGGTTCTTTAAAAAAATCAGGTTTCAGTTGTTTGCTCTGCTGGAGTAAAGATTAAGGACTTAATCCCTTCTTCTTCCAGTGATGTTCATAATCTAGTGAAACCTTTTATCTGCTGTGGTGTTTTGTGATGATAATGCCTAAAACCAGGAATGAGTGGAAGAATAACAACATAGATTGAAAACTGTTGCAGATTAAAATGTTTACTCTGAATTCCCAGGAAGTGGCAGAACAATCTTCCTACATTAATTGGAAGGAGCTGTGTCCTCCAGAGGGCTGCCAAAGACATTTCCTTCAAAAGCTTCATGTGTTTGTAAAAGTGGAATAGAAAGAGGGAGAAAATTGAGGCTGGCTGTAGCAATAGAAGCTTAGTTTTATTAAAATTGTGCACATACGTCTTACATGTGTGTCATAGTCAGGACAGTTTGGCTCTTATGTGGGATGGGAAAGGGTTGGACATTGAGTCTTTCAGAAAGAAATGGGTTGTCATACCTGTGATAATACTCTGAAAATGGAATTTTCAGGACATGCCTTAGTGTGTTAAGTCCTATAGATTTAGTAAGCATATATAAGATGTATGGTCCATTTAAGGTGGTACCTAGAGTATGATTTGTATTACTTGTGGGCTGTGTATTCACTGAATATTAAAAAACCTGGGATTTAATTTTATGGGTATTATTGTAATTAGTAAAGTTGGAGGTTGGTGTTTATGTACCCAGTTGGAGGAGTGTATGTAATAGTTACCCCTTTAGTTTCAATATTTTTGTACGTAAAAGTTGGAAAAAAATTGTGGCATGTAAAGGATAAAGAGAGGACAACTTGACCCCTAGGTGGAGGATAGAGTAGCACAAACATCCCAGATTAGTAAGGAAATGGGTTTGTGTTGGCTTTACAGAATTTTTATATTTAAGTTTTTCTGAGCTCAGGAAGTTTTCTTTTAAAACAGCATCTTAACAGAAGAGGTGACAGAAGATGTGCCATGTAGAGGGGAATAGTATGTGGAGGAAAGAGGCAGATACATATACTTCAAGGGGTTGACTACCAAATCCAGCTATAAAACCTCTTTCAACCCATTTGTATTTTTACTATCTTCAAGAAGGTAATTCACCAGGCAGTTGAATATAAAAAATGAGAAAGCTCAAATTCTTTTGTTTTTTCAGCAGGAGATTGTGTAGTCCTACATATATAACACTGCTAGTTCTAGAAAGAGCTGAGATATTTTGTGTATGTATGTCTTTAAAAATTAGGCCAATAAGAAAATTCAAAGTTCAAATTCAGTTTTTTTCTTAAACATAGCAATCATTACAGACTTTTTGAATATGCTAAACCTTTTTATTTGCTCACTTCTTTTAGTGCTGCTGAATTTGGAAAGGGTTTGGTTTCCACTTAGGCAGTACCTGGTGCTTCTTAAGGCATCTCATGAAGTGGTCTTCATCCCATCACCAGTCACCCACTGAACACTGCTAGGTATTGCAGAAACCTAGGGTGTTGAGCCCGAGATTTCAAAATCAGCCTGAGTGTTCTTGGCATTTTGATTCTAAACCAAATATATTTATCAGCATGTGGTTCTTCCTGAACAAAGGGATGGTGGTGTGCTGCTCTTCAGGTTTATGTCTGCTGCTCTTTAGAGGAAGGGTCTGGAGTACAAGTCCTGTGAGGAGCAGCTGGGGGTACTGGAGTTGTTTATCTGGAGAAAAGGAGGCTCAGGGGGTATTTATTGCTCTCTACAACTGCCTGACAGGAGGTTGCATTGAGCTGGGGGTCAGTTTATTCTCCCAGGCAACCAACAACTGGACAAGGGGAAATGTCTTTATGTTGTGCCAGAGGAGGTTCAGACTGGATATTAGGAAAAGCTTCTTCACTGAAAAATGGGTTAAACATTGGAACAGGGTGCCAAGGGAAGTGATGGGGTCACCATCTCTGGCAGTGTTCACTAAATCAGGAGACATGGCACTTTGTGATGACATGAGCATGGTGGTGTTTGGTCAAAGTTGGGACTTGATGATCTTGGAGGTCTGTTACAACCTTAGTGATTCCAGGATTCTTTGGTTCTACATGGAGCATCCCTATAGCCCTAGAATAATGTAGGATGGAAAGGATTTGTGGTGGTCCTGTGGTCCAGCCCCTGGCTCAAAGCAAGTCCAGTTTGAGCAGACAGCTGGTGGCATTCCTTTAACATATTTCCAACAGATTGTCTGAATAGTGTGTTCCAGCATTCAACAAGCTCATGGTAATTCTTTTTCCTTATATTGACTTGACATTCCCCATATTCCAGCTTATGTCTGCTGTCTCTTGTCCTTTCACTCTTTCCCTCTGAGAAGAGCGTGGCTCCAATTTTGTGTACGTGTCACCAGGTAGTTTTAGACAGCAACACGATGTCCCCTGAGCAGGTACATCTGCTGCAGCCCTGCCTGCCCATGTGTCCTGTGCTGCAGCTCTGGACCTGGCCACCTTCCCTCATCTCCCTCCAGTAAATCTTGTCCTGAGGAGCCCAAGATGGTGCCTGCTGCAGTCTCCTAAATGATGAGCAGCAGGGGAGATCACATCCCTGGATCTGCTGGCTACACTAATGCCTCCTAGGATGTGGCTGGCCAGTTGCTGTGGGGATGTGCTGCTAACTCATGTCCAACTGGGACCCCACATCTTCTCAGGCTTTCCACTGACTGACCCCTGTGGTGCACTGGTGCATGGGGTTGTTCCTCACTGCTTGCAGGATTTAGCATTTTCCCTCACTGAAATTTGTGTAGATGGTAGATAGCACTCAGTATCTACTTTGTATCATTTTAATCCACAGGGATTCATCCCTATGGAGCACCTTGAGGGATGTGATTGTACCAGGTACAAGTTAGAGCAGAATTTGATCCTGCTGGTCCTTAGGTTGCCATCTGACATTACACCTGACCTGGTGTAACTGCAGCCAGCTGCTGAAATGAATAACACTGCTCTCTCAACAACCTGACCACAGGCTTCTCTTAATTTTCATATATCGAATTTAGTTTACTGTTCAGCCAGAGTCAGATCAGCAATTTAAAGAATAGATGGGCATCCATCTGCTCTGAAGAAAAAAAAAAAAAAAAAAGAATATTTCTTTTGTCCTTCCCACAAAGCTTGAATGACCTGCCCACAGCTGCATAGATTGAGGCATGGTGCAGAGAAAGACTTCATCTTTTGGTATCAGCTCACAGTTACCCTGGGTTAGGCTGATGGTGATTTGATGTTTTACAATATAGTTTTGCTGGTCACCTACAGATTTTTTTCTGGGTTTGCAAATATTGTAGGCAGGTGGATAAAAAAAATTTTGTTGGGAAATGAGTCATAGATGTATTAAAATTCTGCAAGTCATTTGAGAGAGCTGCTTTAAAAATGCTCTTAATTTTCATTTTAAAAATAGATTATCCAACTGTGAAAATCTCACTGAATATTTATTAAAGGATAAGTAGCTAATTAAAACCCTGTCCTGGTTTCTACAATACCTAGCAGTGTTCAGTGGGTGACTGGTGGTGAGATATCATTGTATTTGAAGGCAGATATGCTGCTCTTAGCCTAAAATTATATATATAGTTCTGCTCACAACTTAGAGAGCTCAGAAACTGAAACCTTGTTAATTGACTGTTGCCACCTTCTGTTGTGCCTTCACTCATACTGGCACTGAAATGCTTGAGCAGAGCAGCTCGTGAAAGAGAGAGGTCAGCTGGTACAGGAAAACTGACAAATATGCTGGGTATGAATTCCCAGTGAACAAGACAGTGAAACAAACTTTGAGACTTACTTATGGGTTTAGATGAACTGTGAGGGGAGGAAATATCTGCATGTACCTTGGGGTGGACAGCTCCAAGAACTTCTCTCTGAGGTTTTTTTAGAGCTAATGTCTTGGGTATTTGGTGAACAATAAAGAACCAAAATTGTTGCCCTCTTGCATTGGAATGGAAAAGCATGATGATTAGCTACTGAACTCTTAGAAAATAAACCAAGTACAGTATTTTTATGGGCTAGGAAACTCCCTACGTGCCCTCCCATCTAAGGAGGCTCTGTGATTTTCTGTGGTGCCTATAAGCTTTGGCATGTTTGGAGGTGTCATCTGCTTGGTTCTGTCTTTGTGCCATAGGAGGTCAATAATCCTCTTCTCCTCTAGTTTTAACTTATTTCCTTTTAGATTGTTGATTGCTTAGGCAATGATGAGATGAGCCAATTCAAAGTGGGCAGTCCCTGCTTTTACATTAGCTTGGTGCATCTGTTTGAGAGGAGCTTCTGTGCTCCATGGGAAGTTCAGCTGGATCTTTTTTAGGTATATCCCTGAGTCAGGAAGATATAATTACAAGATATACCTTACGTCTCCCTACTGCTCCTTATACACGACATACAAGATTGTTCGAGAGTCACAGTCATTCTTCAAAGCTCCAGCACGTCACCATCCCCAGGATTTTTAATGGTGCAAAGCCATTTTACTGTTCTGCTGTTTTACTGAGACATCTCATGAGAGCCCAGCTGGGTCATGAGCTGAGCCCAGCCTTGTTTCCCATGGAGACTGTGGCAAAACACAGTTGAAGGTCCTGTCCTGTCCAGGGCATGCATTTGTGCATAGGAATGAAAGATGCCAGGGTGGTTGTGTGATGGCGTCAGTGGAGCAGGGTGCTGCTTTTTTAGGGGTTTAATTTGGAGCAGATTACCAGTGGTTGTTATAAGTCTGTGTGTATCTGTAAGTCAAGATGAGATGTGTTCATGAAAACATGCAAGATACAAATTCTTGTCTCAGTTCTGGAATGGTTGAAATCCCTTGGCTTTTGTCTTTCCAGGTCAATTAGTAGTGCTAAGTTCTAGGCTTGATTTTGTAATATTTCTTTAAAATGTAAATGTGATTAAATTATTTCTTTCACATTTACAGCAGAAAACTAGGACAGCATTTGAATTGTATCACTCTATTTTTGAGAAAGTTGTTGGTAAATAGTAATGAATTTTTATTATCTATATAGAACTGTACCACATTTACTAATTTTTATTCAAATGTAGGTATGTTTATTTGAATAAGCTTTGGGTTGGTCGAGATGACCTTCAGAGGTCCTTTCCCACTTCAATTCTTCTGTGAGTTCATAAAGCTCTTTTATTATTCCATGTATTAGAAGTGTCTCTGACTTTAAAAAGTATCAAAATCTGTTGCAGACAACACTTATGACCTAAAAAGAGAGTGTTGGGAGTTTTTCTGAATATGTGACACAGAAGCTTGCTGCTGCTGCAAGACAGGACAGGTTTCCTCACCACATCCTGCCTGTCACACTAGAGATAGTGTTGTCTTCTGGTTAGGTTATTGAGTAAAATTCATGGTACAAAATTCTCCTTGAAACAGATGGAAATTTAGGCCTCCTGGATCTATACTAACACAGTGTTGGACCTTTTTGTACCAAAGCCATGCAGAGATCATTGAGTTGGGTCAGAGAGTAAGGCAATATTAAAGACTGTTTCCATAAAGTTTTTTTCCTTATTATAACTTTAGGTAAGTGACAAGGTAGGATGTTTTTTGACTACAAAACCTTAAGAAAGAGGAAAAAAAAAAAAAGTTAAATGCAGAATTCATTATCAGATATAAAAAAGATAATAATATTTACACTCTGTGTGTTCTCATGATTTTTTTAAAATTATCACCAGTGGTCCAAAATGGATGGCATTTAGCTGGTTTCAAATATATTTTAGTAACATTATATAGAAACAAAGGACAGCATTGGTTCTGTTCTTTTTCTAAGTAATAAAAAAATTATTTTAATTTAATTGCACTGGGAGCAATTCTAATGTAATTCAAAAGTAGAATAAATTTTTCTTAGGCAGTTTAGGGAGCAAAAGAATGTTTAAGTTTAGCACAAAGTATCTGTGTAGCTTTTGTAGTGGACACAACCTTGCAATTGGTATGAATTTGATAGCATTTGTGGGAGCACGCCATGAGTTTTAATGAAATGTTAATGAAATAGTGTGGTCAGATGGACTTCACCAAGAAGCAGAAGGTGTGTGTTATGCTTGTGCCCCATTAAGCCATATTTTGATAGCTTGGATGGGGATTTAGTTGGACATGAGCTTTGGGTGGAGTGAAATGTGTTTCTAAACCCTCACCATCCTTTGCTGCATATGAAGTGATTTATCCATCTGGTTCCCTTAGAGGAAAAGCCTCAGTGGTTTCTGTGCCCAGACAAGGAAGTGTGCAGCAGAGAGCTTTTGTTTTAAGAACATTGATAAAAAGGAATGATTTAATTATGTGTAAGGAGAGCTGTTGTTGGGTAGGGAAAACAAATAATGCAGACACTGTGGGTTTTATAACTGGGATAGGATTTTTCCCTTTGAGAGTTCACTAACATTTGCTTTCTGAGAGCATAGATTAAGAGAAAGACTTTGATGTGATAAAAGTTGTGAGGACAAGTGCTGGTTTTTAATGTATAAAAGTCATCACTCTTCTGCAGCTTTTTAACAACATAAAAGCAGCTGCATTTGCCTCTACTTAACTCCCTGTAATGCCAATTTTATTTTCATTCTGTAACTGATCCTGTTAGTGATGAACTCTGGCTGATACTACATTTCTTAGATACACAACAATTTGGACTTGAGTGCTCACTGTGTTTTTGTATCTTTAGGTATTATTATTTTTCCTAAGAAGCTGTAACCATCTGCATTTGAAGCTGTATGTTTGATATGCCTCTTTGATACTTAAGCCTCTAAGTGGCTGGAAAACTGAATGAGAACTGGGCAAGCAGAGAAAAAGAAGCCAGAGGATAATCAGTTCCTTTATGGAAAGATCTTTAATTCTGATAAAGGCATGAGACTGTAACCAGTTTGTTTTTGTTTCTGCTGTTGTAGGTTGCCTTTCCCTGCGGGTGACCGGGTAACTTTTAATGGGAAGGAATGCATCTGCCAGAAATGCTCCCTGCCCCCTTCCAGCAGCACTGGCTCCTTCCCTGTACAGAACCTGCGAAGTAAGTATAGATTTCTGCTCTTTTCAGCCAGCATTTTCTACTCTTTTCTTAGTCTGCACAGACTAAGTTTCAAGAACATAATTTTACACCAGTATGTAAAATCGGAATTTCTACTACTCTGCTTCATATGAAATTCAAGGTAGCCATGTGAAAAAGCATAGGGTGTTTTTTCTAGAAAGTCTGATATTAAAAAGAAACATAGATGGTGCTATTATAGGATTAACAATACATTAAGCCTCTCAAAGATTTGATTAAAATGAACTAAATCAAATTATCTGGAGAAAAACATAGATGCTAATATTTTTGAGGATTTAGTCCAGTCCATCTGAAATAAAAGCCAATGTAAGATTTAATGATTTTTAAGTGTTCCAGTATTGCTTCAGAAAGTATCAGTGGCAGGACTGCATGGCTAAATACTACAAGCAAGGGATTTTAATGTGTGAAGTGTCAGTGGAGGACATTCACCTTGACCTCACGCTATTGTGCACTATCAGAAGATACAAACACTATGGGAAAGAAATGTGGTCTTTTCACACCAACTCCTTCTCAGTAGATCATAGAGAGGTGATGTTGCTTTAACTCTGTTCCTCTGCTGTTTTGTTCATAAAGTGCTGCCATGCTTTAAGAGTCCACCACTACCCTTATGTAATTAAACAGCAGCAGCAATTCAATTCAATAGAAAAGACAGAAAAATTTTTAATGACTGTTACATCAAGCTGGATTCAGCATGGCTGAGGAAGGGCCCCATGGATTGCTCATCTTCTGTATAAGGAATATAACCTACTTTTGGGAGAAATCTCCCTTTTTTTCTCTTTTCTTTTTCCCCCACATTTCTTCACAGAAGTCTTCACCATCTCCTTTCTACAGTTCATCAGCAAAAGCTGCTGTGTGAATGCTCTGTGAGATGCTCTACCGATTCCTCTTGCTAATGCCGTTCTCTTTTGGGGAAAGGTTGGCCCTTTCTGTTAGGTGCTTTCTCATGTCACTTATTCCAGAGATGGATCCTCCTTGGCCATCTTTGCTGTCTCCTTGTCATATGTGAAAAGTGCCTTTGACTATAATGGACATTATTTGCCTGGTTGAGTACTGACAGAACAAGATCATTTGATTATCTCTGATACAGAATCCTTTAATGTATTTACATTCCCTTTCTCTGTGCACACGCACACCGTGGAGAGTTTTTTCCTGCCTTTGCACTTCCTCTGCTCTCTTGCATCACTGCCCTGAGCCTTCCCAGAGCACAGATACCTGCAGACATCAGCAAACCACTTGCCTCAGAGGGAAACAGCCCTGGGAGCAAGCACATCTCTGGGGCAAAACCTGACCCTGGAAAATAAAAGTTTACCTTTTCCCCACATTGCATAGAGCAGTGAATGGTGTATCTCCTGGGAAGAGCTTTCTTGGAAAAGACCTTAATGCTTTAAACAAGCAGCTCTTGTTAGTAGTGCACAAAAACATGACCTCAGGCAAACTTTTTCAAGGAAGGAGTAGTACACTGACCCACTGTTACATTGGGTTTGTTCCTGCCTCATAACTCTCTGGTGTGTACCATGTGTGCTGTTCCCCAGCCTATTTATCTCAGCAGTGCTTTCAGAACATCTCTTGGAGACTCATTGAGCTCCCAACATCACTGCCCCCTCTGACAAGTCCTTCAGTTTCATCCTCCCCTTTTGCTTCTAACCTCCTTCATGCATTCCATTTGGTAGAAATTAAGAATGTAAAATTGTTTCTTTCTGCCTGAGTCCTTGCATTTTTTATTATATAAGTACCTACCTCTCTGTTTTGTTTTGTTTTATAAAACACTAGCTCTGAAAGCCTCTTGTGACAGTGCTGATTTTGAGAGCGTACTCAAGGAAGAATATTAACATGTAGCAGCAAATTGATGTGTTCCACAGAGTTATTGCCTGAAATTAGTTGAGTCACCAAAGAATGCTGCATCCAAGATGGGAAGACAAGGACATGCATTAGTAGGCACTGTTGGCATAGCAACCACAATATTTGTTTGTAATTATCTGGCACTTTACAGAGAAAATAGCAGTTGGGAATAAAAAAAAGTAGCTCACAAAATGCTGCATTTCTGCCCACCCAAGCTTAAACCAGCTGAGAGGTGAATGACATTTGAGCACATGATGTTGTATTCAGTTTGTGAAATAACTCTCAAACAGTCAGATTAAATTAGATTTCCAGATGAATCCCCAGTACAGGGGAGATCACAAACAAATTTCTGATTGCAGTTGAACTACAGATACTGTAGAATACTGCAGGGACTAAAACCAGGCACACACCCAAATGTTCTTTATTATTAGCAAAACTCAAATGTTCTGATTTGGAGTGCACATGCTTTTGTGCTAGGCTGGTTTCCAGGTATTGGAAACAAGAGGGTAACATTAAAGAGACACATTATTGCTCCCTCAACACGTTCCAAATCCACTAAGGAAAATACAAACTATGCTTTATCACTGTGTGCTCAGAAGTGAAGCATTTACAATTTCACTTAGCTGTCTCGTTAGGGTCATGTAACCAGTGAAATACAGTCTTAAATCAGAAGTTTTTAGGAGGACTGTTTAAATGTTTTAATGAGATCCTAAGTTGAGAGTTCTTTCTTAATAACTAGATAAATCTTTCTAATGCATTTGCATAGCTTTGTGTTCCATGCAAGATATTGCTATGGGCTTGTTTTCTCTTCTGGCATTTCTGAATGATTCAGTGTCTTTCAGGTTTTGTCTTTTCCCTAGAAAATTGTTAGTATATCTCAAGAATTCCTAAAAATACTATGTATTTTTTCCACATGAGATGGAAGATATTTTATGGAGGATTAGAAGGATTTTATGGAGGATTGCTACTAGAATCAATTTTATCACTGGCATTTATCCCTTTTTTTCCACATATTCTGACTATTTTAACATTTAGTAAGAAAATCATCCATAGACAGAAATCTGTAGAGTGAAAAGTGAATGAGAGATGGACCTGAATGAATGAGAGGGTTCATTTGGGATATAGAGAACCAGGTCCAAATCCCATGTCTATGTAACTTCTCTGAAGAGGGCAGAAACTGATTGAAGGTTAGGCTTTTGCTAGCTTAGTCAAAATCTTCCATTGTTAAAAAGAAAGGCAACCAAACCCCCAGACAGTCTCGTTCTCAGTAACTCTTTCTGGGGAGCATAACTAGTTTACCTGTTAAACCAACATAGACTGACCTTTGTTACCAGTTATTGCATGTTTTACATGTATTTTTTGTTAGCACATCTTGGAGCTTTGTGTAAGTGAATTTTCATAGAGAATAAATACATAGCCATCACTTTCACATATTGAAATGTCACTAATGCCTCTTAAGTATTGGTGTGTTTTTCCTGGTTACAGGACATTTCATACCAGAATTTCAGCTTGGATTTTTCTCATGGTTGCAAAAAGAATATTGAAATAAGTAGAGCTTGCAGATCCAAATTCAAATGCTACTATGAAGAATCAGTTTTTTGTTTTAATCTTCGTCTTTTTTATTTAGTTTGTCAGGCTGATTTGTGATGCTTGAAAAATTAATCAGCAAAACTTCATTTTGTTAAACACAATGCAAATGAATTAAAATAAAGCCTAAGTCACTAGGAAACTGAAGTCATCAGTTTTTTTCTTTGAATGATGCATATTTTTTAGCTATTTCAGAGCTTTCTAAGGGCAGCAACACTTGCCATCCATCACGGAGCAGTGGAGTGAGCAGTGGAACTCTTGTGAGCTGGTACTGGGACGCTGATGGATCCTTGTACTGCTGCAACCAACTGCTGCATGACCACCTAAAGAATATGATTCACTCATTTGGGTTTTTCTCTTGCAGATTGTGGGGGCTGTGGTTCAGAAATAAAAAATGGTCAGTCCTTGGTCGCCTTGGACAAGCACTGGCATTTGGGCTGTTTTAAGTGCAATACATGTGGCAAGCTACTGAATGCAGAGTATATCAGCAAGTAAGTAAAGGAGTATTTTCACCTCTTTTAAGCATTCTTTTAATGCTGAATAATTTATCATTTCATACCCTTTATTTTTATACATATACCTGTTTGGAAATATATTAGATATTATTGTCTAAATTATTATCTAAATTGTATTTAAAAAATGAAATGGAGAAAAGTAGAAGTCATATTTTTCCATTTACCTGGAATGGGACTTGACAAAGCAGCTATGTTACAGAGAGGCAGCAGATGGAATATGTTTTCAAGACCAAATGTATGCCCTTAGTTACCTATGGTTTTGCTCTCTGTGATGCTGTAATGTAAACAAGCAGTTTTTTTCTGTATGTATTATAAAAGAAGAAATGTTAGCTAGAAGTTCATTAAGGATGTACCAAAAGTTCATTAAGAATGTACATACCATACTTTTGTGCTGCTCCAGACCCTCATGCTGTCAGATTTGGACTGAATGTGATGGCAGCACTGAGAAACAGCACAAAGCACACACACAGACCACATCCCATGTCAACACTTTCCTCAGGCCAGTGACATGCAGGCCTTTCACTGCCCAAGGCTCTGGGATTAATTTCTGCTTCAGAGAAATTTGTTATGTTGAAATTTTCTTAAGCAGCAAAGTAACTCAGTCAGAAAAGTCACCAGTGCCCGGAGATGATGGAGTTTCAGAGCCTGTCCCCCACTGCCTTTTTCTTTGGATTTCAATTAACACAGGTACAACGTTTAATTTCATAGCCTGCACTGGAGAACAGTATTTATCAAAAAGGTGTTCTTAAATAAGGTTTTTTTTAATTGCCTCAGTGTTGGGCTAGTCTGCTGTATTTTAGTGCAGTGCTTTTTTTGCTTGCTATTGAATATAACCCTCTGTAAATTGTAAAGGTACAATTAATGCAAAATCATCTTTTTTAAAAAGACTAAATGCCAAACAAAATAACTTAAGAGAAGAAACATCCTGTCTTTAATTATTTCAATTAATTATTGTGATAACTTCTAGGTTAGCCTCTAAGAAATCCAACTTCCAGGCTATAAGATTAATTTCTATGTTTCTTCAGGGAAATGTCTGATAAAATTATGCCTCTGCTAATAAATCATGGGCTGTTTCAGTATAACACACAAAACATATTTAACTATGTTTAACATGAACTTTGAAACGTGAGAAAAGTCTCCAGGTTCTTCCTAGAGTAATTTGTTTTCATTCATCAGTTTAATGTCTACATGTACAATTTAGTAAAATTGTAAAATGTGAAATTAACAGGTTCTTGTCAGGGCAATAGTCCAGATGTTCTGGTTTTGATGCTTTAAAATAAAAGCTGAGACTCCACATTTTTTTTCTTCATATCTCTAAATTGTGTCTTAACTCACTGGTGGCAGTAAAATAGCTGCTTACATCATGCATGAACACACTTCTGCTCAGGCTGAATTCTTGTAGTCATTGCTGGCTTCTGTGGAGCACATTCCCAAGTTGTTTGATCAATGACTGTCTCCAAGCAAGTTCAGTCAAGAGTGCCAGTGGATTTAAATGTTTATCAAAACTTGGTTCATAGACAAGATATTTGCGAAATTACTCCCTGCAGTCTCAGCTAAAGGATCAGGTAATCCATATATCAGATGATACACAATGGGATTAATTAGATGATGAGGGGAAGAGTAATATGTAGAAGCAACTATCTTTCCACAGAGGGGAAAACTCGTGAAAGAATTTAATGGGTAACATGATTAAAAAGGTGGTATGAGGATCTCAGAGACTGAGTGTTATTACAAGGCTGATGTTTAGCAACAAAGGAGAAAAGCGGTCCAAAATAGTTGTTTATTACTATTCAACTTTTTACTATATTAATAAATAACGAGATACTTGGGAGGCAGGAAAGCCCATAAATACCCCATGAAGTATTGAAACATTGACACATTTTAGATGCATAATCTCCCAGTGATCTGTAAGCTTACATAAGGCAGTACCTGTACAGCCTGTTGTTCTTCCCTAGGGATGGGGTTCCCTACTGCGAAACAGACTACCACGCCAAGTTTGGTATCAGGTGCGACAACTGTGAAAAGTACATCACAGGAAGAGTGCTCGAGGTAAGGAGAACCTGTCATTCAAGCACATCTCCAAGTGTACAAAAAGACTAGCTCTTTTGGGTTTAGTCCTGTGCTCACAAACAGGTATGCAGCAGCTTAATGTTACTTTCATTAAATACCAGGAACGTCTTCTGTGATCAGGTTTTTTGTTTCTTCTCTTCATGATTTGGCAATACATAAACATCCTAAATGGATATTTATGGTACTAGAGAATGTTCAGGCAGCAGAAGTAATAAATGAATGTGTTATCAGGCATGCTTTAAAACTTGCACTAAATTCATTTGTAATTTCTGGGGATTTTTATTCTCTTTTATGTTCCCCAAAGATGGGATGAAGCTGTTTAAAAGTAAAAGGAATTATTTGAACTGTGTTTTTGCAACCAAAAATTAACTGTGTGGCAGAGGTTTTTTTGCACTTGTTGTTCTAAGAAGCGTGAACTTGTTTAGTGTAGGTATATGTTTATGCATTATACAAAAATTTTCATATAACTGAACCAGTGTCACAAAACAAATATAATCCTTTGATCAGAATAAAATTTATCCTTGGATCTAGGTGTATTGTTGCCTTGTCAATGTCATTGATTATCTACTTTTTCTTTTTTATTATCTGCTTTTCCCTGTTAAATCCAAGCAGTGCTGGAGTTAGGGAGAGTTGCACAGGTTCACTCTCTCTTCATCAGCTAAAAAAGCCTAGAGAAGTCCCAAAAGGCTTCCACCAGAGAAAGACCTGCTTGGAGTCGCACGAAGTATTAATATCCAAGTGGTGGACAATTTTAACTTGTTAGGAGTGATGAGCAAGTATCCATACCAGATGGGAGTCTGTATTGGATGGGATGATATGGTGTTAACATAGGCATGAGAGACATTAACAAATATTTTTACAGACCTCTCCAGAAAGAGATTTCTAAAAGGGAATTTGAAAGAGTATAAAGACAGTTTGCTCACTTTTTTGCACACAGTTTTCACAACTGGAAGAGGCAAAACAAAAGAAAAAATGTCTTAAAACCTTCAAAAATGTAAAAGATGACCAGTGGAAGCTGTTATATGTTTTTGGAGACATCAACCATTGACACTGAAGGAAAGGGAGTAAAAAGGGGTGAGGTTTGAAAGTGAAGGTAATTAAAAGAGGTGAATGCAGAGAGAAGAGTTAAAGCTATGGCAAATTTGGAGTGCACTTACTCAGAGCAGTTAACAAAGAGTGATTAATACTGAGATAGGAGAAGAACAGACACTCCATTTTCTGTACTGACTCTTGGCTTCACAATACTGTGTTTTTCTGTCCTGGTTCTTGCCTTGAAATATGTGCAAGAATGCTCTTTTTATGTGGTAATATTTTACCTCCAGTATGTATACTGGAGGTATGTACACCACAATAGCATGTGGTGTGATGTGGTTAAGAATTGGGTCCTTACTGTCTCTATGGCTAATAAAAAGAAAAAAAAAAAAACGCCTTAAAGATCTGCAAAGTAACAGCACCAAGTGTGATTTGTGGAACCTGGGAGCACATGTGACTGTAGTTGATTCTTCTGTCTGCTTGGTGAGAGCGTCCTAAATAGAAAGACAGTTCCTTGTTTTTATTGTAGATGAGCCAGTAACAAAGTTGGGAAAAGCTAATTTTTGAAAGCTATTGTAGGAATTCTACCATGACACATTACATATGATGGTTTTGATCAGTGTGTGTCACTCTCCTCTCCATTCTCCAATGTTGCTCTAAGGACGGCTCTGTACCACTGATCCTCATCTTGCTTTGTTACTGATTCAGGCTGAGAGCTACATTCATTGGTCTGTGGCATTTAACTGTGGAAAAAAATACTGATTCAAGATACCAAAACCTTTTTAAGAAAGTAGATGAGGAGAAAGGACTTTCAGCATCTGTAAAAGCACAGATAGTATCATTGTGAAACAGGAAACATAGGTTGAGGTTAGACTGGAGTAGGAAATTTATTTGAATGGTTACAATGACTTTTAATGTCTGGACACTTGTTGGAACAACCTGGAAATATTATTATCTGTATTTTTTTTTTTCTTTAGCACTGTGCAAAACAGTTTGTTGGTTTGTGTGCAGCAAAGCTAATGAAGCTTGAACATGGGTGCATGTCACATGTCCTAGCATTCTGCTGCCACAGTAGGTCCTGTTCTTCACAACATCTCCCAAGATATCTGCTCCCATCCCCTCTGTTTTTCCATGACACATCTCAAGAGCTTTCTGTATGTTCCCACTGCCTCACGGTGACTCACACTGTGAGCCTTCCCCCATGTGATCAGCCTGGATTTCCATGACTCTTTGGAACTCTGTAAAGGGATCACTTCAAGCAGCCATTGAGTTTCAGTGTGGACTGGAGAGCAGCTGGATGAGGAGGTAATGCACACACCTCATTTCAGTAGGAAGCCAAACAAAAAGTCACGGTGTGAGCCAACAGCTTTGAAAGGACGCAGAGAGCGTGTCTGTAGCTAACGTGGTTAAGGCATTTGTTGTTTGTGTGCAGCAGATGGACTTGCTCAAAAGGCTTGGAACTGGGCTGATCTTTTCTCTCTTTCTCTGGTCTTGGTATTGAAATCGATGGCTGTTTGTTGCTAGCAGGCTAATTGATGTGTTTATGTATCTTCTGGTCAGGAGGACAGAGAAAATGCAGGGTATTGTATGGTGCCTGCTCTTTGTTGTAGGACGTATTATTAGTGAAGTTGTCTGGAACACTGACACATTTTTCAAAACATCGGTATTTCTTTTTACCATCTTGAATATTATCTGGAGAAACACAGAAATAATAGGGCAAATTGCTCTTAAAGTGGGGGGAAATTTCGACAGCAATAATTATTAGGCAGGGGAATACTCTCCCAGGGAGCTGCTGGAAACTGTCACTTTGAAAGTCTTGTAACAAGATTGGACAAGGCACTGGAAAATCTGTGTTAGGGAACAGTCCTGCAATGACAAAGGGAGGGACTATATGACCTAATAGGATTTTTTCCATCTCTGATTTCTGTGATAATGTCAGGAGGACAGCTGCTTCCACAATTATTCTGTGCCCAGATTTTATAATATTGTCTCCCTATCCAATACTTGCTCATTTTAAGTGTTTATTCAGCAGAAAGGAAGGGAGAGTCAACTAGTGTGAGTTACTGATAAATTGTAAAGTATGACTGTTTTTGTAGGTTGTCAGCCAAATACAGTGATGATTTAGTTACCTAAATTCTTCTCTCAGCCCATTTTCTGAGGGCCAGAGTAATTCCATGTAGTAAATGGGCTTAAACACAGGATAGCTTTGTTTATAATATCTTTCTAGTTTCTTTCTTCCCTTCCAGTCCACCTTGGCTTGCTCCTACTCACCCAGGGAACTTGTACTGGAAAAGCTATAAAAGGGGCTGAGCAGTTAATTTATGGAGACGATAAATTTTATTACTTTTAAAGCAGTGATTTTGCTGGTTTGGTTTTCTTTTAAACCCTACCCACCAGTGCATTTATGGGCAAGATTTGGTTTGTTTGTGATGCACATGGAACACTCTTAAATGCAAATCAGTCCTCTCCTAGAAGTTGTGCTATTGTATCCCACCATATATATTGATAAACCTGCCAGCTTAAGGGAGGAGCAGGAGGTTGCTGGAGTTTACTTTTGTAGTTTGACTTAAAATGCACTGTGGAGAGAAAGGGTTTACTTCAGTGCTTATGCTGTATCTCTGCTGCCAATCTGCAATAGTTACCATCATGCAATAGCAAATGTTTTAAAATAACAAACCATTGATTTTTATGACCAGCCATTTCCCTTTTGTCATGTTGCAATCTATTTCTCTGCACTTAGCACTAAAAATATTTTTCTTGTTTTTTTTTTCTGGTACAAGCAGTAATTTATTAGTTAAAATTTCAACTTCTGCAAATGAACATATCCAAAAAAATGTAATTGTCTTTTTAAAAAAAACTTTACTGTATTTCTTATGATAATACAGAGCGTGCTTTAAACCCCTTTCATTCAAGAAAACACTTTCCATTTTTTTCCTCATTTTTAATCAGTCTTTTAGCTGCATCTTGCTGGGGGAGGCAGAGATGTGTAGTCTGTCTCTCAGTCCTTCCCACATAGCAGGTTGTGTAAAAGGTTTGGAAAGCTGTTGAGGTTCATGACAAAGCTGTGTGACAGCCAATGACTCCTCCTTGTCCTCTCCTGGGAGGCATGTCTGGGTTTCCTTAACATCTGATTCTTAGAAACATCATCTCAATTCCAGCATCTCTCTATTTTGAAGTGGTTCACATTAAAAGAGTTAAAAATGCTTTGGATACGATTGATTTTTAGCTTTTTTAAAGTGTTTTCCCCTCCAAATGATGAACTCTAAGGGGAATTTATAGAGAGTAGTCTTAGTTCCTCTCAACTTTTATTTTAGATAACTGAGTGAACCCAATTCTCCTGTGCTGGTAAAGTCAGCTGCAGGCATTTCTGGTGATGCTGGACCTTCTCACTGTGGGTTCCTGGCTGGAACCACCTTCTCTCAGCATGGATGAACACTGTCCTCCACACAATGCCTCAGCACTATCTTCTGCGGTGATAGTAACCCCTTACACCATTTCTAAAGAAAGTTCTTTCCTGGTGTATCCCACACTGGTGCAGTTTTCTTCTGGGAGTTCTGTAACATTGACAGCCCATAGCGAGATATTACTTTGAGGGGAGGGGTTCTCTTGATCTGCTTTTTCAGCTGGTGGTTTCCTCCATTGCTAGAGGAAGCCTCCTTATCCAGAGATAACCTTTTGGGGATGTTTTAATGGCAAACACAGTATAGGCTGTGAGGGGGTCACGTTTGCTTTGATAGGCAACTGCATCCCATCAGTTGCCAAAATACCCCTCAGGGGTATTTTCATCACTCAGTTTTATCTACAATTGTCCTGTGATTCACAGCTACATGACTCTGGTGTAAATGTGTCTTACAAGTGCTGTTGAAAATCACTTACAGCAGTTGGAACCATCTTTATGTTCAATATCTGACATCCTAACACGGCAGCATGGCACTCAGTTTATGTGG